ATCTCATCCCCTCCCTAGTAAAAGTCCTCCATTGTAACAAATACAAATTGTCCCCAAAGTCTTAGTGTGATTTTAAGTTTTGTTTTTTTTGTTTTGTTTTTGCTTTTTGGTGAGGCAATTGGGGTTAAGTGACTTGCCCAGGGTCACACAGCTAGTAAGTGTCAAGTATAAGGCTAGAGCTCTATCCACTGCACCAGCTAGCTGCCCCAGTTTTAAGTTTTAGTAGCTTAAATAAACCCTGTATGTTACAGTTATAGTCCAATAAAACAAATCAAACACATAAAACAAAAAATGGGCCAGATCTGAGCATACATACCTCATTTTGTCTCCATCAGGCAGCTGGCTGCCTCATTTCTCAATAGAATACCAGGCTTGTCACCTGGGAGTTATCTTTCACCCTTCTCTCTCCTTTGCCTCACAACCCACTCATCACCAAATGCTTTTGTTTCCTCCTTTGAAATATCGCTCATTTCCTAGTTGGGTCCTGTCTTTTTTCTTTTCTCATTCAAAACTAACATTTTCTTGCTGAATCAATTATCCTGAAACTCATCTTTCATAATTTTTTTTTTGTTTCTACAAATGTTTCTGCCTGGCTCTTAAGATCCTCCAAACATGTGGCCTTTCTCTCTCCATCCACTGCTACCCCAAAGGAACCTTTGCCCCAGTCACCCTGGTTACCTTTCTTCTCGTAACTATTCTACACTAAGCTTACTCTTGCCCTTTGGTTTCTGCTCATATTTATTTAATTTTTTTTCAGTTACCAATCTTTTATCTTTTTCTCCCTCCCAATTGACCTTTCCACTGAAGAAAAGACAAAGAAAACCTTTGTAAGAAACAAGCATCCTTGCCTATATCAATTTATATACACTGTCTTGGGGTGGAGGGAGGGCAGAGATGGGGAGAAAATTTGGAACTCAAAATCTTATGGAAGTGAATGTTGAAAACTAAAAATAAACAAATAAAATTATTTAAAAAAAAGAAATAAGCATTGTCGTGCAAAATAGATTCTCATATTTGCCAACGTCCGTGTCTCATTCTGCTTACTAGTCTATCACCTCTCTGTTAGGAGGTAGGCATCTGCTCCTACTTTCTCTCCCCTTCCTTTTCCCACTTCCCTAACAAGAGGAACCCATCCTGGGTTCTTTCTTTAACTTCTTTTGCTATTACTCATTCAAAAGACCAATATTATTCTAGTCCAGGTTAGCAAGGATGAGGGCCTGAACCAGTACGGCTACAGGGGGAGTAGAAAAGAAAGAATGGAAGCAAGTGATATTGCCTAGGTAGGATCAATAAGATTTAGCAAGTAATTGGACATGTAAGGTCAAAAGTGATTCCATGATTTTGAGCCCCTGTGACCTGGTGAATAATAGTGCCAGCATTAGAACTAGAGGAGATAAGAAAGAAAGGCAGGTTTTAGGGGGAAGATGATAAATTCACTCTTTGATGTTGATTTTTGAGGGGCAGATGGGGCCATGCAGGTGGAGATGTCCATCAGATAGTTGGAAATTTGAAACTAGGGCTCAGCAGCCTTTCCCTAGGCTGGTGATAGATATAGCTTTGGAAATCATCTACACAGAGTTGATAATGAGGTCAAGAGTGAAACGGCCAAGGAAGAGAGTATAGGGGGGGAAGGACTCAGTCTTCGGGGATGTCCATCTTTGAAGGAGAAACAAAAACCATCAGAAACAGAGGAGGAGTATTTGGAGAGGTAGGACAACCAGAAGAGAGCATCATTACAGTCAAAGAGGGGAAGACTGATGGAGAAAAGAAAAGAAGGAGACTGAATTAAGGGTGCAGGAGGGATTGGCTTTATTTTATCCTCTGACAAAGAAGGATTTAATGTTAGAAAGGCCCTATGATGACAGTAGAGAACACTAGATACCTTGGGAGTCAGAGGACCTGTGGTCGGACCCTCCTATCATCATGATATTTGTGGTTTGGGGTAAGTCACTCGGCTTCAGTTTCATTACCTGTAAAATTATCGGGTTAAACTACAAGGCTTCTAAGTGCCTTCCAGCTCTAATCCTCTGATCTAGGAAACTAAGGCCCACAGGGGTAAAATGCACTTATCCAAGGTCACATAAGATTCCAGACCACTACCTCTTCCCTTTTCCTTATCACACTAAGGCCTGCACCAAGTAGGAAAAACTCCAGGTTCTCTGGTTTTTGGCCTTCCTGGACACAGTTATATCAGGGTGAGGAGAAAAAGTTGTGTTTTCCATCATTTTTTTCCAGGAGAAAAAAAAAAGGGAGGAGTAGCTAAAAGGGGGTGGCTCAGTGGATAGAGGTCAGGGCCTGGAGTCTGTAAGACCTGAGTCTCAGACATTTATTAGCTATGTGAGCAAATCACTTAACCTCTATTTGCCTCAGTTTCCTCATCTGTAAAATAAGGATAATAATAGCACCTACCTCTTAGGACTGTTACGAGGATCAAATGAGATATCTGGGGGAGGGAAAGGTATAGTATAGAGATACTTTGGACCACCTTCTGAAATTCTCATTGTTTAAACCAGGGATGGCGAACCTGAGGCCTCTGAACTACACGTGGCTCTTTAGGTCCTCGAGTGTGATCCTCTGACCGAATCTAAGTTTTATGGAACAAATCCTTTTATTAAGAGGATTTGTTCTGTGAAGTTTGGATTCAGTCAGAGGGCCACACTCGAGGACCTAAAGGGTCATGTAGCCTGGAGGGCTCAGGTTCCCCATCCCTGGCTTAAACCGTTTATGCATCTGAGCGAAGAGTTACATAGTACACATATACAAATAACACTCCATTCTGTCCTCATTACTATAATGTATAGTTAGGAAAATGTAATACTGGAAGCTAACCTCCTAGTAGTAAGTGATTCCAGCTTGAACTTACATAGGAGTAATTAATTCAACACAAGGGGCCACTGTCAGAAGGAGCCAAATTGGGTGCAGGTTTGCCAAACTTTTCTTTAAAAATATTTTATTCTTTTTAAGTTTTAATATTTTACTTTATAATGTTTCTCTTTCTTGTCCTAATGTGTATTTAAGTTTAAAATAGGTTAATAAAAATAAAAGTTAGGCAAGAATTGAAAAAATATGTATTTCATTCTCTTTTGCTATTGCTTAAAGCTCTGTATTTCCCTTGTAGAACAAACAACAAAAACCCAGAAAGTTGTATGTGAATTAAACTTATTTTTTCTGAGTTATAGTAATTGATCTGGAATGTCTGATACATTTTCTTGTTCCATGTTGGAAAAAGTTAGCAGTAGTGTTCTTTATTTAAAACAAGTGTGTTAAAACATTAAAGTAAATTACTCATTGAAAAAATACACACCAGGAAGTGAACCATCAAATCTAGTTCGGAATACAATGGAAGGTCTTTGAAGACAGAGGGTGCCTGGCTGGGCTGAGTGCACTGATCTTTGATTTTTTTTTTTCTTTTAAAGCAAAGGAAAAACTAGCTCCAAAGAATTATCAGTTGTTTTCCTCGGGTTTCAGTGGAATGACTGTTAACTATCCAGAACTCATTAGCCCTAAAGCATAGGCCTGGAAACCTGGTTTCTGGACCAGGATAAAAGATACAGATTGGATCTGATTTCATCTACCCATGCACAGTTTGGCACCTTCTTTGCAACTTACAATTTAGAACGCTGAGAGATTAATTGCTTTGCTAAGGGTCACACAGCCAATATTGCTATGTGAACTCAAGTCTTCCTGGCTCTGATGCCCAGGGTCTAGTCATATTGCTGCTTCCCTCTGAAATGACAACTTAGCCTGCACAGATTTGTACATACATAGTTATTTGCAGGTGGTCTCCTCCATTAGACAGTGAGCTCCTTGAGGGCAGGGGCTGTTTTCACTTCGGCATCTCCAGCGACACACATTCAGCCCTTAATAAATGCCGGTTGACTTCGTTTGTTCAACTGCAGCAATTCACATGACTTCTCTTGGCCTGTTTCTTTGTGGACAATGCATTGGTTCACTTACTCGGCCTCTTTATGCGCAAATGCAAAAGGGTTTGGAACTGGCTAGGTCCTCAGGTTCCTTCCGAGGTCAAGATTTCGTATGAAATTGGAGTCTTTTCCTTTCCCAAGACAAGCGCCTAAAGCCAAAGTGCACAATGCCATCTTTCTCAGGACTTGGCTGATGGTACCATTGACAGAGATATCCTCCTAGAGTCATGGTTTGGTTGGCCTCGGGCTACAAAATGGTGCCCTGGTAGTGGGTGAGTCAGGAGAGGCTGATCTGAATTCTTCATTCTACATTAAGGAGGTGCCTTTGGAGGCTCACCATTTTGAAATTAATCAAGATGAGCCCAGTGTCTCTCTCTTTGCTCTTCCCGGGTCCTCTATAGGACTGTCTCTGTGCCACGAGTCTCCCTCTTTGCTCTTTCCAGGTCCTCTTTAGGTCTGCCTCCTGTGCCACGAGCTCCCCTCTTTCTCTCCTCTTTCCAGGTCCTCTTTAGGACCGTCTCTGTGCCACGGGCCCCTCTCTTCCTTTTCTCTTCCCGGTCCCTCTGGCTCCCGTGCCCCAGCGCCCCTCCACCTAGTGCACCCTCTCTCTTTTCTCCCTCCCCGTCCTGCCCAAGTGGACACTGACATGACGCCATCAGCAGCTCCGCTTGGGGGGAGCCCAGCCCCTTGACCTTTCCCCGTGCGGTCTGCGGCGCGGCTGTTTCTCTCCGGGTGGGCAGAAGAAGGCGGAAAAGGGCAAGAGCCCTACCTTCCACCCGAAACTGAAGACGCGGGAGGGAGGGAGGGAGGGTGGGGGTGGAAAGTTTTTAGTCGGCGGGAAGAAAACCGAGTTGCTCTTTTGAGCGTGCAGAGAGCCGAGAGGGAAACGAGGACCACACCCTCCCCTTTAATCCGCCCCTGGACGCGGGAGGCGGAGGCTGGGGCGGGCGCTGGCCGGGGCTGCGTGGCGGCGCGGGGAGCGGGAGTGCCGCCTTAGCTCCGAGCCCCCACTCCGGGAGCCGAGCCGAGCCGGGCCGCGAGCGCCCGGGCTTCGCCTGCAGCCGTGAGCCTGCCGGGGGTCTCCCCACGCCCGCCCCGGCGCGATGCTGCCGGCTGGCCGCTGGCTGCTGCCGCGCCTGCCCCGGGCGTCCCCGGCGTCCACCGCTGCCCAGGTAAGGCGAGCGAGGCGCGCTTTCGGAAAAGTTTGGCTTCGGTGGGGGAACTTCGCAACTTGTCTGGCCGGAGCGGGAAGCGCCTGGGCGGGGACGGAAGGAGGGACCAGCGAGCCGCTGGAGTGCCGCGGGCATTATGGCCGGAGCGGGGCTCCCCTCCTGGCGCCGCCTGGCCCGCGCCCCATGGGCTCGCCTGCGCCCGGGAGGTGTGTGCGCCCGCGCTGGGCACGCTGCGGGTGCCGGGGGACTTCCAGGCCAGCCCGCAATACTGAGGCCGGGAGGAGACCGTGGGGTGCCAGGCTCAGAGAGCTAGACCTGGAAGAGCCCATTTACTGAGGAGCAAAATCAAGCGCCGGGCACTTTGCCATGGTGCAGAGATCCCCTCCAGTTTGCTTCGAGTTGTTTGTTTGCATGTTGGAGTGTGCGCTGGGGCTCGGTTGGTTTGTTTGGTTTTTAAATCCCCAGTCGGGCTGGTTGATCAATTGCCAGGTTCAGTGCCTTGCCCGGGTTCTCCCAGTTAGAATCAGGAGCTGGGAGGGACCTCCAGAGCACCCCCTAACCCAAACCCTTGATTTTCACAGAAGAGGAAAGTCTTAGGGTCCAGAGAGAGGAGCAGTTGTCCAGGTGCTCACAGGTGGCTTTGAATTCAGGTCCAAGTTCAGAGTTCTCCCGAGCCTAAGCCGCTTCCCAGCTGGTTCTAGTGATGGTGGAGACCTAAGTCCCAGTCTCCACCCCCCCCAGTAAGCAAATAAAACTGACAAAGCAACCCCCTAAACCTCCTGCGGGGAAACAAAACAAAACACCTTTGATCTTTGTGGGAGGAAGAGAGTTAGCATCAGTTCCAGCTTGGCTGTCTCTCTGACAGGCGGAGGCTCCCACCTGGGTGGATGTGGGTTGGGAAGTCTGTTGTTACTCTTTGGAGAGGTCGACCAGAAAGGCTAGTGGGCTGACTTGGGCAGGAGACAGCTCTGCCCAGTGCTTTGTGATGGCACTGTGCATTGGCATGTCAGGAGAGGGGAATGGTGCTGTGAAACCGGATGTTCAGAAACCATGACCAGTTCCCTTTTCAAAGGGAAAAGGAACGATTCCTTCGGTTTTGTTGTTCTGGACCCTAATGGGAGGATGAGTCACCCTCGCTAAGTTTGACACCTGCGTTTTACAGTCAATTCAGAAATAGTTCTTGGAGAGGGAAACGGGGAAAAAAGGGGGAACGCGTGGATTTTCAAAAGAAACAGTAGTAAGAAGGCATAGCACAAGTAATGATGACTGCAATAGGGTTTGACCGAAGCCAAGGATCCTGAAGTCTCTGAGCCTTATAATGAGACAATTTGAAGACATACCCTAAGGGCAAATGGCAAATTAGTTTTGTTTTGCTCTTAATGGGTTACTAATAAAGCTCAAGATCCTTTCATCTTTTTAAAGATCAGATTAATTTGGGGGCTTTTAGCTGTGTACAAAATGGTGGCAACTTTGAGATTTGTTTAGAAAAAGTACAGTCTTGATTTCATCTTGCTGCTTTCATTTTATTTTTCCTTTCACCTTGTTCAGGGCTGCAGAGTTCTCAGTAGTGCAGGGAATTCATTAAAAATGTATTCCCTGTACATCCCCCCCCCCAAAAAAAAAACCACATTCATTCAGTAGAACAATTCTGCCAGCAGCCCGTTCTTAGGGAAGAATGGGGGAAACCTATTGGACTGGGAGCACTTTGCAATGCTCGTGTTTGCTATCACCCGTGAAATGCTCCCTCAAAGTCCCTTCACCACATTCTCCATCTGTTACTAGAGGGTGCACCCCTGTTTGTCTCCTCCATAGTGATTGTGTTCCTGAGACAAGGAATGGTGCAGTTCAGTGGTTTAGACTGTATAACGATTAGTGGGCACTCCTTCAATCTAGCAAGTGCTTAATAAGCACCTAGTGTGTGATAGCTGCTGGGCATACAAAAATGAAAAGTTAGGTTTTAAGCTTCTCAAGTGAGCAGAGACAAGAAAGAAATAGGAAATTAAATGTGAGTGCATCACAGAGGCGAAAAATGTGCTACATGTACCCCTCATCCTTTCTATTTCACCTCTAGACATGAATCTCCAGAAGCATGATTAGCTCCTTGCCTGTTTGTATTTCCATTATGGTTTTTAAGCATTGAATGCATCTCCTTTCTAAAGTGAACGGGCTGAGCTGCCTTTCCCCAGCACTCGGTCAAGAACTTAATTGGTGGCTGATGCTAAGAAGTACGGAGGAAAGAGAGGCCAGCTTCTAATGATGGACATTGGGGTTCTTTTACACGGAGCTCTGGGAAACCAAATCACAGCTTCTTAGAGCTGGTATGGAACTCAGACATTTAGTCTGATGCTCTTGTTTGTAAGGTGAGGAAAATGTCCAAAGAGGAGTTGCCCAAAGTTACATAGGGCATGAGACATCAAGGTGGAGCAGTGGATAGAGTGCCTGGCCTGGAGTCAGGAAGATTCACCTTCATGAGTGAATCTTACTAGCAGTGTGACCCTGAGCAAATCACTTAACCCTGTTTGCCTCCCTCATCTGAAAAAGGAGCTAGAGAAGGAAATGGCAAACCACTCCACTATCTTTTTGAAGAAAACGTCAAATGGAGTCATGGAGAGTTGAACTGAACAACAGTTTATAACATTGTTTAGTAGAGTGGCACATAGTAGGCACTTAATAAAATGCTTGTTTGCTTCTCCTACTCCCCATGATTATCTCTCTACACCCAGGTGAAAAATTGGTAGAATATACTGATATCCCTTAAGAAGTCTGGCCTCTTCTCAGAACTTTAACTAGAAATACCAACTTTCAAGGTCTTGCTTCAGTGACATTTGATAAAAGATCTGTGGTTAAGTGTTTAAGCCCATTTGATTGGCAGAGTAGAAAACTATCATTCCATTATGTTTTCTCCCCATAAGTAATCTTTGACATAGGCCCCTAAACAGTATTCAGTTAGGGGAAAAAAGCATTTCAGTGCTAATTGACAGTTCATGAGTCACTATTCTGGAAAGACAAGTTCCTAGGGACGTCCTAGAAGGTGTTTCCTTTTGTGCTGGCATCTTCCAAAATTTGAATGTACTTTTTAGGAAAGTGGAGTGACTTGTAGAAAATATTCTCTCTTTTTTTTCCCTTACATTAGTGGCATAGACTCTAAGTTTTTGTCTTTTTCTCTGCAGTGTTTAGCACAGTTCCTGGAACATAGTAGGTTCCTAATAAATGCATGTTGACTGAGTGACTGATTGATCGACTGGAATCTACTGGCTAGCAAAATTTTGTAGGTAGAAAAACTCAGTTTGTCAGCATAGCCCTAATGTAGCAGAAAGGAGAGGGGGGAAGAAAAGAGAAGGCAAAGACAAAGAAAAAAAGGAAGCAAAAGGAATGACAGAACTAAAAAGGGAATTCAAGAGACCATTTGAATAAGAGCCCCTGCTATGCTGGTGGCCAAAGCCTCAGCAGTATCCATGGATATTTCTTATGACGGCATCTCTGCATGTCAGCATCCCAGCTGAGTGTTGTCAGGGCAATAGGTGATTCCTGCTGATGCTGATGCTGATTCTGGTAGGGATCCAGCCTTGAGTCATTACTGTGCCCAATGAATAATGTTTACACTAAAAGACCCTGCTTAATTGTGCATTTCTTAATTGTAGCTCCCTGCTTTTTGGACAGAAAAACCCTTGATATGTGTCAGTGCTTCTGACATAAAAATTGAGGTCTTTCAAGCAGTGTTTAAAATTTATGAAATAAAATAAAATCAAGCCTGTACTTCTGGCTTAAATACAAAGTTTAACCTTTTTTTATTTTTGAAACTAAACTTGTGAATACATTTTTATTCCCTCACAATTTGTTAATTTAGTTTATGTTGATCTTTTTATCTCTTGCATTTAATAAGTGTGTCATTCTTGGTGCAGGATCCACTTTCTGGATTTTAATTTTGTGCAATTTATTTTATTAAGCACATTTTGGTTTATACATATTTCTGTAGAAAAGAAAATGATTATTCAGCAATAGGGAATCTAGACTTAAGGAGGTCCTTGGTGTCATGACCCAGGGCTCTGTCCTTGGCCCTGTTTGGTTCAACAGTCTTATAAATATCAAATTCGAATGTGACACAGAGCTGAGAGGGCTGGCTGATACTTTGAATGACAAAGTTAGGCTTCAGAAAAAATTTGACAGTTTGGAATAATGGACCAGACCTAAGAAGATAAAATTGACTGGAGATACATGTAAAGATTTCACAAGGATTAAAAAAAAAATCACTTTTGACAGTATGGAATGCAGGAGACCCAGATTGGCAGCAATTCATGTGAAAAAGGCTTGGAAGATTTAGTTGACTGAAAGCTTATTGTGTGATGTGGCAGTTAAAAAGCTAATGCAATTTTTGGGGGGGGATCTAGACCTGCCTATATTGAGGAAACTCCCTCTTCCAGGGTAGAGCAGCAGCCTTTCTGCCATTTGTCATTTTCAAGAGTTGCTTGGGAGCACTGACAGATTAAGGGACCTCTGCCAGGATGTGGGAGTTGCACTTAGGTCTTCCTTCCTCCAAAGCAGGCTCTGTAGTCACTCTGCTACTCCAGGGCTGTCTCTCCAGTCACTGCACCACACAGACGCCCTCAGTAATACTAGGTTGCATTGATAATAGTACAAATCAAAACAAAGTAAGTCAGGGGCAGCCAGGTGGTGCAGTGGATAGAGCTCTGGCCTTGGAATCAGGAGGACCTGAGTTCAATTCTAGCCTTAGACACTTGACACACAACTAGCAGTGTGACCCTGGGCAAGTCACTTAACCCTGATTGCCTCACCAATAAATAAATAAATAAATGAATGAAGTAATAATCTCACTATATTCTATCTGGGTTAGACCCATCTGGAGTGTTGTGTTCAGTTTTGGTCATTATGTTTTGAGAAAAACATAGAGGGTTGTAAATATTTGAAGGCAGGAATTGTCTTTACATTTTAAAATTATTTTATTTTATTTTATATTCAGGTATACTTTCGTTCTCTTTTAC